GGTAACTCCTCCGACGACTGTCGCCCGCTCGACTGCCGTCCGACCAACCATCTTCTCCACCTCCAACTACTTTCCACATGAGCCAAACTATCGGCAACCTCCCTCATTGCACCCATTTCGTCGAATCAAGAAATCCAAAAATTCAATCTGCCAAGATATCTTCTCTACCTCCAAAAATGTCTAGTGGATGAAGAACTTGTGTACAGTCCACTTTCATGTACTTGTCTATCCATCTGATGTCATTCTATTACTTGGCGTTTCAATTTTGGGACTAAGTCGATGAAGAACTTCATTTTGACAGGCTGCTGCCAATGCCAAGCATTATGGAAATTAAGGACATGTTCAATGCCCGGGCTAAGCATTTTGGGACCGAGTCAATATCCCGTGATGCCATGCAGTTAGACAAGAAAATCTGGATTTTGGGAGTGAATGAAATTGTTGTAATTAGCAGTTTGATGTGATCTAGGAACTATGTGATAATTTATTATCTAGAAGTCTATCTTCACTTCACGGGACATGCTTTTTCCTTTTGTTTCTGTATGAATTATTCAATTATTGTATGTTCAGGGGATACATCTCTTAAGCAGGACTGCACATAACAATTGAAATAAACATGAGACGCAACCATAATATTTAAATGACAGCACAAGTGGATTGATTCACATAGTTTACAAACTGCAAAACACTTGACACAATATTTAAATGACCGCAAAAGCTGATTTACCGACAGAGGGAATTGAGGAGATAGTCGACATGTTCGATGCTTTTCGAAGGATGGGAAAATGCTTGGGGATTGCAAAAGGGGTCCGATTCGTCTACCTGCATCTTGTGATGGAGAAGATTGTGGTGATGGCGAATTCGACTTAATCGAGGGTTTTCAACGCTGGCTTCGGAGATGCACAAATTTGGGGAAAGATAACCTAATGAGGATGGGGTTGTGGGTGCCACCGGAGGTGGAGATGAGTCCGCCAATGTTTGGTCGGCGTTGTGAAGTGAAGGGAGGATATGGTTTTCGAGAGGGAAATTTTGGAGAGGGGTTTCAATTTGGAGATTGTTGGGGAGGAAGTGTGAAGAAGGGTTGGTTGCTAATTAACTTCTTTTTTTTTTTTTTTGAATAATTCTTGGTGTACCGAAAAATTTTTCACAGGGGTTTTACAGAGAGTCATTTTCAATTTTGCCAATAAAAAAAAACCGATTTTAACAACGTTTAAAAAATGCTGCAAAAAAGTGTTTTTTGCAACGTCTAAAAAATGTTGCCAATAACCTTTTTGGCAACGTTTAAAAAACATTCCCAAAACCTTTTTGGCAACGTTTCACTCTACGGCAATACTGAGATTTACAACATTTCCCAAACGTTGTGAAAGGTCTTTGGCAGCGTTTTTTGAACGTTGTCGTATCCTTTTTTTGTTGTAGTGTGGGTTGTGGGTGCCACCGGAGGTGGAGATGAGTCCGCCAATGTTTGGTCGGCGTTGTGAAGTGAAGGGAGGATATGGTTTTCGAGAGGGAAATTTTGGAGAAGGGTTTCAATTTGGAGATTGTTGGGGGAGGAAGTGTGAAGACGGGTTGGTTGCTAATTAACTTCATTTTTTTTTGAATAATTCCTGGTGTATAGGAAAATCTTTCATTGGGGTTTTACAGATCCCTCACTGTAGCGCGGGCTCCACCCCAATGTATTGATAAAAAAAAAGTGCCCCGCCCTCCTTTCTTTCCTCTTTTTTCTTTGAACCATACTATATGTACAACTTTGGTTGACAACTTTTGCTGACAATCATGAGTTAGCAAAATCCACACCATTCATTTTAAAACTATTTTTTAAATACACTAAACGGGTCTTGACAACACATGAATTGTCAACAATCATTGTACAAATAGCATTATTCTTTTTCTTTTACTTTCTCATGACTTCTCTTATATTTTTTTATGTTCAGGAGATAAATAGAGACATCTCTAATCTCATATTCCCAACAAACATGATAAAAAAAAAATTCACTGTTGTTGCGGTAAAAAAACCTTACTAATGATTCTTGAAACGGAGAGAAGTAGGAGATCAATTTCATAAATAAAGGTAAGTCAAAAAAAGTATTTTAAGAAAGAGTGAAGACGTATTCCTCCAATCGAAAACAAAACAATTTCCATCTAGTTGCCTAATGTTGTAAAACTCGTAATAGTAACTTTTAAGTACTCAAAAACTTAAAGAGCACGTTTAACTATGAGTTAAGTTACTTATTTATTAAAGATAATTTTCAAAATCACTTTAATAAATAGTATCTTTTAACCACAATTATGTATGAGTAGTTTTCAGGAAAAAAAAAATGAATGAGTTTTTTTCGACAAAATTAAACTTAAAAGCTAAGGTAATGCAAAGAGCTGATTATATTCACGTAACAATTTTTCTTTTGTTGCT